AAAAAAAAAAAAAAAAAAAAAAAAAAAAAAAAAAAAAAAAAAAAAAAAACTTTGCCTATCATAACTCGCACTCCCACAACCTCCCTTCCATTTTCTCGGCACCCTCTCGGAAATATGTACAGTTAGCTCACAGGATGCTTATATATGTGTACATAGTACACACATACCAATATATTATATTATACCCTCGTGCGGCACTAAATCACGCCTGAATCAGCATACAAGCGCACCGGGGCCCATAACTCGATACGCGCACACAAAAGCCTCGTAATACCCTCTTCGCGCCCGCGCGCATATAATCGTTATCGAGCCTAATGATTTTGTATTACGTATACATATGCATACATGCACGATGCGAGAAGGCACGTTTCCACCACCTCCTCTTGACTCTATGCAGCAAAGTCCAATATGTATGCACAAAGACAAAAAAGCTGTGTGGGATTACGGGTACTTGGTACATCGATTCACCAGTCATTCATTTCTTGCACCTTGTGCCCATATACTTATACGTGTGCCGGACGAGACTCGAACAATCGTGCGGACTTTGTTTGCCCGTTTATGAATTTCTTCATTTTCATATACGTACAGATCGTGTGTGTATATCATATTATATGCTCTTCGTTCTCTGATGGCTCTCTGTTCCTTTCCACGGTGTGTTCTCTCTCTCTTCCGAGCCGTCATAAAGTTAGGCTCGAGTGAGCTGTGCGGATCGAGAAAAAGATCGCGTGAGAAGCTTGGATGCGCCTATTGACGGACATGTCGATTATTTGCACCGTAGCCGCCACCCGTAACGTCTACTTCATCACACAAAATCGCACATACTCAGCCATGGGATCGACCGTCTATTGCCAACTCTTTTTTCCTCATATTTCAATAGATGTAACGTGTATTATACGAGCTCACGCGCGATGAAAGAGAGCGGAGTACTCCTCGCGGGTAAAACCCCAGGCCCAAGTTTGGAGCGTCCACTGCGAGCTGTCCGAGGCGGTTTAATAGATGCGGCGAGCAGGAAGTCCGACATTGGCTTAAATACGGAAGTACCCTCTCGATTCTCGGGCTCCTTATTCTGTCTATATATAAACTTTGTACATACGAAATGGGCTCTCGAGAGGGTATCGAGAAGGGGGAGACCGAGCGCAAACACTCTCGACGTCGTATATCGTGTCCGGAATCCGTGCTATTCGCTTTTGCTTCGGAACGATAGGATTTTCGTTGTTGCCATTTGTTACCATTTTTCCTTGCTCCCTTTTTTTTTTTTCTCATTCGTTTGCCCCCTTGCAGTCGGAATTGGATTCCTAATAGTCGGTTCGCAGTGAACAAGGGCAAGGAAAACTATTTGCTTCGCGGACCATTGTGCCTTTGCGGTAACAGTCGAGCAAGGGACGTTGATTCAAATTAGGAACGAAAAATTGACAATCCGAGACACGCGATAGCGCCAATCGCGGTACAGGCTTTTATAATATACTCACGTGTATACCTACCAGTTAATGAAAACAAAAAAAAAAGTAGCGGGACAAGCGTTAATTAATCATATCTGTTCCATCTCGTACAGACCGAGATAATAATTATGAGTAGGTAATATAGAGGGGCAGGGAAGAAGGGATGAAGGACTATACTGCGCGAAAAGAAAAATCACGGGCTCTTATGATATTGTTTTCTCACACTCTTCGAAACGCATATGGAAGGAGAAAGAGAGATGGTGACAATTAGCGCAAGGCCACGAAGGGAGTGTGAATACGTACTTGTATATAATATACGGTCGGAAGCAGCCAGCGGAGCGCGAACGGAACGAGATTAACGGGGGGGCATGATTTTTCGTTTCCCACGTAGTGTATAGCTATTGTAGCCGATGGTGGTTGCTCTTATCGCGTCTGCCTGTGGTCGTTAAAGGGACGCTCGCGTTTCGAAATCGCCCGCACACGTATACAACAACGTAACTATATGTATACACATACATATATCCACGCGGCACCTCCTCTTATCAGTAGTATACGGAGCTCTTTGCGGTCACGCCGCTTCCTTTTAACGAACATTTGGTATCGCGAAACTTGCACGTGCTCCGTTTTACAGTCGCTTCGTGCGCTACTTCTACTGTCTATTGAAAAAAACGACGCCTTTGAACGCTGTGTGTTTTTGCATCGATGGTGATTTTTTACCGTACATACATGGTAATGACCGAGGGGCTTGAATTACGACAAGAACTTTCAGTATATGGTTGGCTCGAAAAATCAGTACAAACAACAGATTGGCTACGAGTCCTTTTGTCTTCGCTATTCTTGTAAAGCTTGTGATCCTGTGATCTCGGGAATCTTCAGGAATTTTTCTCTTGACCGAATGTAAGGAAGTTTATACTTCGATAACTTAATCACCATAGAGACCCGTTGGAAAATAAAAAACAAAGGGAGCAAATTACGCTGTTATCACTATACTCTGGGACCACTTACCTACGAGCGTTCACGAACGAACTTGTCGCCGCGACCGAGATACACACCAGCGGCTGCTGATACACCGACCGCAATCGTCATCCTCGTCCCTCCCTCTCGAATTGTCATTGTTCTACTTCTCGAGTCTGCTCTTTATCTCTGCGGTTTCCTCCTCCGGCTTCTTTTTTTTTTTTTTTTTAATTTTAACGTCCCACCGTGTTTTTTTTTCTCACACCCAGTGCTCAACGGAAAAACCCATACCGGACTCGGCGAGGCCGACCGATCCAACGACCCTTGCCATCTCAAATATTTGATTTACCGAGGAAAAGAAGAATATGCGATCGTCACGCGACACCGTTGGGTGCTACTGCACGGATTTAGAGGCGAAAAAAGTTGATTCGACGGAAAAAGATAATTTTATCTCGCGCGCGACCTGATCCCGGACATTCTATTGGGGAAACGAATCGACGGGCTTTCGCACACCGGCTACTGGAATCACAAGGAAGAACAAAAGACTTCTTCGTTTTCGCGCGCCACGCTTGATTTCGCTACTGATTAAAGACGGATCGAAGCAACAGAGAAGGCGATCGATGGCCGGTGAAAAACAGCGCGAGAAAAACAGAGCACATTCATTGGAAATCGAACGAGAGCAGAACAGTTTTACCACTCGGATGGATGGTTGTTTTAGCTCATGCTGCATTTATTCAACAAAGTGCAAATAAAGAAGCAAAATGCAGCCGTGAAAAGTTTCCGCCCATCGACGCCCCGCTGAGGTGTACTCGGAATCTAATGACTCGTGTCTCCTTTACAACCGATGTCCAACGCACGATGAGGCTCATCAGCTGCCCACCTGCGGTCCATGTCTCAAGAGTGACTTATGATTAATTGATTTTCGTGCAGTGCGTATATACGTAATAATGTGACATCACATGTCATGTCCTTCAATCGATTATGACCCCCTTCGACTTACTGATAAGCTCCTCTTCTCAGACAACAGTATACACGAAAGCACCATCCCTATCTTTTTAAGCCGTTTTAACTCCCCTGAACCAATAACCTCGTGGTTCACAATCTTCGTTGTCGTAGCGCAATCGTTACTTCAATCACGTGGTCATATATTTCCAATCGGCATACTTGTCGGAGCACCAAAACCCGTCCACCGAACGAGCCTCGATCGTCGTCTCAATAAATGTCAGCGATCGGGCGATCCTTTGTATATGCAATCGGTACCATTTTTCTCAACAAACAAGTACCCGCTCCTGCGAAGGGATCCATCGGATTCTCCTCCTTCCCTCTTGAGGAACTGTAGTTGTGGCTTTTCAGCCTCGTTAGCGCCCTAACGTGCGCGACGTGGATTCATTGAATAATGGCTTTATTACCAATTACCAATGGTACTCCGTGTATATGTATACACAACAGATAATCCTGTGTCGTTCTTCTTCTTCTTCTTCTTACGATCTGTCCATTACGTGCCATTAACTTGAGGTTTATCTCTATCATTATTTCTTTACTTGTGCATATAAGAGTTAGGTTTGTATGCTGTAAGTACTTCATGTATATACGGGAGGGACCATTAAATTTTGATGGGTTTTTTTTCTTTTTTGTTCACTCGTAGTATTTATTTTGCGTTAAATCAATTTGCAGATGATCGATTACCAAATCGAATCGCTCAATTAATCGGGTCTTGGCTAGCAAGAGCAACCACTGCGTTCAAATGAATGTATATACCAACCATTTTTTTTTTTTTTCATTTCATAATGGAAATATCACCTGGAACGATCATGCACTTGAAACCAGCTGAGCACTGTACTCGGCACTGTACATGATGCCTCGTAATTTACCAATACCAACAACAACAACAACAACAACAACAACAACACTTATATGTATATACGTAAAGTTAATGCACGATGTGATGATGATGATAAAACGCATGGTATGATTTGCAGGCTTCCAAGGTGATGTCTGCGAGACCAACATAAACGACTGCGTGGGCAACCTCTGTCAGAACGGGGCGACGTGCATCGACCGAGTGAACGAGTACTCGTGCCTGTGCCCGCCAGCCTTCACGGGTCCCCAGTGCGAGCACGATGTCGACGAGTGCTCGGTCAGGCCGTCCCTGTGCCACAACGGGGCCACCTGCACCAACAGCCACGGCAGCTACTCGTGCATATGCGTCAACGGATGGACCGGGCCCGACTGCAGCGTCAACATCGACGACTGCGCCAGCGCCGCCTGCTTCAACGGGGCCACCTGCATCGACAGGGTCGGCAGCTTCTACTGCCAGTGCACGCAAGGAAAAACCGGTGAGTCGACAATTTTTTTTTTTTTCCATTCATTCGTTCGTCTTAATCCAACGTTTGTCGGCGCAGCCGAAATTTCGATTCACCGATGAATCGAGACTTATACGCGACGGAGCGGCTTTTCTTTCATCTCCCTCGATCGCGCAATCGTTGAAAGGGTATGATAGTGCACGCCACGTGTGCTTATTATGCCTACACCACGCGACGCCTCGTGTATGAATGACCTTCGGGATGAACTTTCTCTCTCGTCGCCGCGCAAAGAGTCGGGAAAAAAAAGAAAAACGAGAAGTCCACCGGTTCTAGCAAGGTCGAGATGGTGTTTCCCATTGTATATGAAACGCAGTTGCCAATCGACTCGGTTAACGACAAAGTGCGTCGCGGCCGCGGAAGCTTTTCCCTTATTACGGCAAATCAGATATTGCGAGACGTGCGGGAGCTCGCTATTAATCATGTCCAGCCAACTGGCTTCTTTTGAGCTGTTTGGTTACAAAATCACACGGGCTGGTGGACGAAAAGAGTCGTGAAAAAACGCGCACAAGCCAGCACTACAATCGAAGATTCGAGGAGCGCGATACGGGCGTTGTATGAAACATCCGTGCATGCCTGTATATACTCCGATGAGCGAGAGCCGCTACTGTTGCAGATTACGTTGGATTTATCGTCCGCGGTTGGGATTAATTGATTCGATGTTGTTGCGGCGCGACGGCTACACGTGTAACGGAGGCTCGTGAGCGATGCGATTAATTGGGATGTCGATTGTTCGCCGTGATATCGTTTTCAAAGCTCCCCCGGTGAATCGTCCGGCCATGGATTGTGTACATACGTTGCGTTTGTCGGTGGAACGAAATTTTCCGTCACCCAGAAAGCCGTGTGCTGTGCATCGCGTTGAAGAATTCACGCAACAGATGCAGCCGAGTGTGTTTTTTTCTTTTTCTAAGGGCTTCTCGTTATCTTGCCAAGCGTACCATAAGATGTGCTAGTAAATTTCAATACGCTCGTTGTGCGTAATTTATAAAAATGTATGAAAAACAAAAGGAAGATTTTTAACTTTTCAATCGATTACTGTATGGATGCCCCGGAAGCTTTGATCAAGAGTACTTTGAGACTGTGGTACAGAGCTTTACCGTGTCGACCGAAGATAGCGAGGACGTACGCGTACGGAAACAGAGTGGAACGCGGTTACGAAAATTTAAAAAATTGAGGGAAAATTTCACCACCGATCCCAAGAGAGAGAGAGAGAGAGAGAGAGAGAGCGCGGGCGGGCGTTCGCACGTTTGTGGAGTATGAAATTCTTTGGCAGAGCACGTAACAAAAGAGGGGCTTGCGGGCGAGACAACGAGAGAGAGCATCAGCTCATTGCTCTCTCCCTGAGATCATTAGAGGGGAGTAGGAGAGATGTGTAGAGTAATTGCAGCCGCGCGAGAGATCGAGTGACGAGTCCCACTTTCGTTTTTCGCGTTGGGTAAATTGCTGAAATTGCCGCCACTGCTGCTGATCGCCTCGGGTCTCTTCATTTTACTTTTTTTTTCTTCCCCTTCCCGAGAAAACCTCGTGCTGGCTTGAAATCGTGAAAAACAGCTTTTTGTGTTTTCCTCCTCGGCTCTAATCGATCTTTATTGACATTGGTTGTCTTTTTTTCCGCACAACTTTGTCTTTTTATCAGGCTTTCATTTCATTCGGAGGACGAGGATTACCTTTAAAACTAAAATCTCGATTTTTCGTTTGTTTGTTCAAGGTCTCCTGTGCCATCTGGACGACGCCTGTACATCCAACCCCTGCCACCAGGACGCAGTTTGTGAAACCAGTCCCATCAACGGCTCGTTCACGTGCTCGTGTACGAGTGGCTATCGCGGCATTGACTGCTCCGAGGATATCGACGAGTGCAAACAAGGTAAGTCGCTGTACACTTTTATACTCGTGTCTCTTTTGCATTTGATGGCCAATATGTTTTTTTTTTTTTTTTACCTTAAATTTGAGCGTTGGACGTGAATATTCATAGTATACGAAAGATGACTGCATTGTCAATGAAAATATACGCTGCTCAAGCTCGTCCTTTTTGTTTTCATTTCCCCTGTGATTTAATTCAAAGAAAAAAAAGGTATCGTTTTATTAATTTTTTTCTACGCCGAAAGATTTCAAAGGTAGGTATATCATCCACTGGTAATTGAGATTAATTTACCAATCAGTGGTAATTGGCTTAAATTTATTTTGAAAACTGTTTTTCGCTTCATTTTCAAAACTCAAGGTAAAGAAAAAAATCGTCGTTACATTTCTACCGATTTATTGGAAAATCGATCGTTGCTTCGTCTGTTATTACAAGGTATGGACAAAACAACTGCGGGTATCGATGATTCATTATTTCTTATTATACCGTTAAAAAAACGATTGAAATTCACAAAAAATCAGTTAGTAGCGTTAGGTACGAATATTAAACAAAAAATTTAGGATACAAAAGACCTCACTGATTTTAACATTTTTTTTATCAAAATACTAATTTATTTGATAGGGTAAAAAATTGAAAATTCACGCTAGTCCGCGATACGATGGCAGTTCCGATAGTATATTTGTAATCCCTCTCTGCACGGATGATTTTCGATTCTCAGGAATAACCAGTTTCGCGACTGTAGTCGTTGGAACAGTATCGTTTGAGAAATGGTTGGGAACACTGCGAAAATTTATTTTCAAATGGCCAACGAGGGACGGAACGAGTTTTTCGGTGTGATTTTCTGCACGAGGGCTCCTCGCGGGTACAGGCCATCTGAATAAATGCATGAAACATGAGCAATGCGCCAATTTGGCTAACAAGAGATGTGGATGCTCGCCAAATCGCGGAGAGAATCGTGTGCGGGAAAAGACAGAAGATGCAAGACAGTAGGGCCTTGGTGACGCTGTACCGAAGCATCGAGTGAAATTTCAGCTCGTCACCGACTCGGGGGACGCGTATAATTATTTAGATCTACAGCAGGAAGATCAACAGTAGCAATATGGTCGAAGAAAAATCGACTTCGTGCAGTGCGCCTCAATTACGTTTGGTGTCTAAAAGTGCGCCTCGTGCTGTGCCTCTTGGGCCTTAATTTCAGCAAGAAAACTCCTTACGCACGCTTTGTTTTTTTTAATGTATATCATTCACGGATGCACACTTCCTACTTTGTCGTTGAGACCTCGATACACAAATCCAAGTGCGGCATGTACTTATACGTGGGGGCAAAAAAAAAAAAAATTGCAAATTACACTTCAGCGATGGATCAACAAAAACAGATAGTGCTATTTGTACAGCGTAGTAATAATTACTTTTTAACGACTCTTGTCCCACCAGAAAACTGTATGGAAATTCCACTGCAACGACGTCCCTAATTAAATTATCGTTTTCGTCGGCGCTCACAGCCTTTGGCGAAACCCAAGCTGGCCCGACATTAACCTCGAAACGACTCTTTCGCTCCAAGGGATGCATGTTCGTTGCATACTACAAGGTCGAATTGATGACTAGAGAGTCTTACGATGCAGTGACTCCGAGCGTGCATAGAGCACGCGTGGATATAATCGTATTATAATTGACCTCTGACTTTTTACATTAGTACAACATCATTTCAAAGCATCCGGAGAAAAAGAAAATTCCGAGCTTTTACGAAGTCCACTAAGATACCGTATTTTAAATAGTTGTAAAAGTAAGAGATAACGTGAAATTTTGGCCGTCGATTCGTGACTATAAATAAACAACGAGCTTTTCCACAAAATTCAAGCCTCTTTTTCAAAGGCCGAACAGCAGTACCGTTTACATGCTCGTGCACTTTCGGATTAAAACAAAGCATCCATACCAAAAGGGCCATAAACTACACACGTATCGAGGTATATTAGCGGACCCTATCTTCAGAGACGACACAAAGGCGGAGATGCTTCCGATTATTAATGAAGTGTCTTTGTCTCTGGCCGGCTCGTTTAGCACATAGCTCCTCGTGCGCGAGGGCCCCAGAGGTATACTTCTTCCCTCCCGAGCCAGCTCTATTCATTGTCGCAGCTACCACCACTAGTACACGTGCGTGCAGGTAGTTCTGCCCATTACGCCGGTGCTGGGAAATACATGGCGCGGGGCCGCAAAAATTTCCCCTTTGTTTACAGCCGGCTATTGTGTCCGGTAATGATTATTTCGCGCGGCCGTTTCTCGATAATGATTCCGCGACCGTCCCGCTCCGGGCTATTTCGGCCAATTGGACCTTTTCTCTCTCCCTCTCCCGCTTCATCTTTTCCTGTTACCGCGACCTTGATTATTTATCGTTCTGTTTGCAAAGAATGGAAATATTATTGGTTCTGGAAATTCTTTGGGGGTCATCGCGTTGATAGCACCTGTGCACTTCATTGAGAGTCGGATGCTTCGTGTTGATAACACGCCCCCGCTGATTTCGTTTTTCATACGGTCCTACGGTCACTGTGTCTCCAACCTTTTCCTGAACCAGCTGTTTTTACAGTGTGATGTAGCACTTGGGAAAAGCTGTACAAGTGTCTCGAAGCCTAAATTTTGCATCTTTTAATTGGCCCATTCGTTCATGATTGTAACTCTGCAAGTTATCCAAAACTAGTTGTACTCTTACTTGATCACAAGCATTGGTGAAATATAAATAAGGATTACTTGTATGTGCAATTCGAAGTCAAGCGTGTATATTATTTCCAGCTTCGGGCATCAATGACTGTAATGGAGCACAATTTTATGCGTAAAATCGATTGACGCTTCGAAATTCCCCTCGTACTCGTATAAGTAATAACCAAAAAAAATAACAACCACAATTTAAAAATTACTTTTGAAATTTAATAAACTCGTGAGAAATAAATTTATATAAGAAAAATAAACTATGATCATCATCATTTTTTTTTCTCTACACGTATATAAAGTTGAGTAAAATTCAGTATGGCACTTTTTGTTCGACTCCATGCCATTCATCGAGTAATTTTTACTTGGATCTATGAATAATACGAGTAAGAGATATTTATATTTCTGAAAAGTTCAATTTGTTCTGGAGCCAGTTGTCCCGCTAGAGGATCATTTTCTATATCACAATGAGTACGCTTGAAATCACTGAACGTTCTGCGTATTGTGGCCTAAAAAAGTAAACGTGTATTTAAAAATTTTGCATGGTTTTTTCATATCAGTAAGAAAATTGATGTACTTACTCAAATCAGCTCTGGTTCATTATAGTGTGTATTCAAGTGCTCGAATATATGGAAAACTTCTCCGGGTATGTCATAAGGATGAGCTAAGATAAAAGCGCACATTCCAAGTATACCGGCGTGTCGTAAACGAATCGTTTCCATAGAATTAGCATTGTTGGATTCTTTTGTCTTACCGATCTCTTTCTTTTTGGCCATTTTGACAAACTTATCCTGCACACACGTATCGAATACATTTTTATAAAAACATCTATTAATTAATAGCATGTGCTTACAAGCTTGGCACTACCGATTCTAAATTGTATACTTTGAAGAACAAAGTATGTCCTTAGTACCTAATTCACGTAGTTGATTTTTTAAATATCATTTAGTTTCAGGTTATCAACATGATAAAGTACCAATATTATTATTACTCTGTTTACAAATTATTGTTGTTTGGCCAAACAATAAGGAACAGTCGATTTTTTCAATTATAATTTTCAATTTTAATTTCCGTGTTTTTTTTTGTATTCAAATAATTATTCATCCTCATTTAATCAATCAAATGATGTAAAATAAATTTACATAGAAGAAGAGCTTGTCGATCTGTGATTAGAGTACAATGCAGCATCCCGCTGAGAACCGTGGCAGCTTTTTCACGAACCTCCACAACCTCATCCTCGAGCAAATTTAAAATCACCAAGCGAATTTCCTCAATCCAGTCCTGGTTGCGGAGTAATAGGCTCATATTGTAAAACAAGACAAGCTCGATAAATTGAACGGTGCTAGCTCGCTCACACCATAATTTACTTCTCGACATTTTGTGAATAACTTTAAGGGTAGACGGAATTTTTTCAGGCATTCGCGACGAGGCCAGAAGAGATATCGCTACCTTACAGCTTTCAGCTAGTTCTGGATACTGGGCATCGTTGTTCTCCATTTTAACAAATACAGGAAGAAGATCGTAAAAACTTCCATTGTCTATGACATACGAGTTCGACCACCTGCGCACAAAATCACTTAGCGTTTGTAGGAATTTTCGACCATTTTCTGAGTTTTCATCCATTAAGTTTTGGAGAAGCGGTTGATTAGGATTTATGAACCCACTTGTTTTTCGGATTCCTGAAAAATCGTTTCAATTGCTATTATATCAAATTATCCAAAATCATACTCATGAATGCATACATATTAGCTGTGTACAAGAGCCATCGCCTACCTTCATGTGTGTCTTTTTTTTCATAATAAATTTCCGAATGATATACCATACATATTATGATAGTCAAATCATGTCTTACATTTTCCAAAGGGTTATTAAATAAATGAGATTCAAACTGCGGTAGTAGCCGATGTAACCATGGAATCATATGCCATAAGTTTGATATACAGATTCTAATAAAAATTTACAGTCTCGTATGTGTGTTAATAACGCTTTTAAAGCAATCATTCTTTATCGTCTCATCTTTAATAAACTCGATTAATCAAAATAGCCTATTCGGATTATAGTCCCGAATAGCGTATGAAAAGCAAGTTTCCCAGTTATGTAAAGTTTCCATGCTAGCGTGATCGAGAACAAGTTTGATAATTGGTAACAACTTGGTCCACATAGCCTTAGTCTTGTCATAGGGCCAGTGCTTCGTACCACGAATGAGTCCACATATTATTTCGGAGGCGCAACGTTGTGAACTCTCGCAATCATCTTTTACCAAGCGGGACAAATGAGGCAGAAAGTGGACCAAGTGATCATCACCATGG